GCTAGAGTGCCATGGCATCAGCCTAGCTCACAGCAGCCTCAAACTCCTGGGCTCAAGTGATCCTCCTGCCTCAGCCTCCCGAGTAGCTGGGACTATAGGCATGTGCCACCATGCCCGGCTAATTTTTTCTATATATATATTAGTTGGCCAATTAATTTCTTTCTATTTATAGTAGAGACGGGGTCTTGCTCTTGCTCAGGCTGGTTTTGAACTCCTGACCTCGAGCAATCTGCCTGCCTCGCCCTCCCCGAGTGCTAGGATTACAGGTGTGAGCCACTGCAGCCTGCCCATGCTGTTTCTATCTATATAACAGCTTGTCCCGTGGAAGAGAGGATGCTGGAACAGGCTGGACTTTCTTGCAAGCTCAGAAAAGTTATGTTTGAAATGTGTCTGTCTCTGGTGTGCCTCCCTTCAGGGGAGTCGGTGTCTGTCCCTCTGGCTCACTGCTGTAGCCTAGCACAGGGCCTGGCTTCCAGCAGGTGACTCAGAGGTTTGCACGGCTGTGTCTGCAGGTCTCTGGGGTGGATATGTGGGTAGGTTCCAGTTTACACCCGTCCACCGCTGTGTCAGTGTCTGCACATACCTGTGTGCACGGCTGCATGTGGCAGTCCTTGAATCTGCGTGTGTTTGCATGTGTGTGTTGCCACAGCAGCTGGTGGCTGAATGCGTGCCTCTTCCCTGATGTCATCTCCCACACCCACCAGGCCCCAGTGACTCGTTCTGGTAAGTATTTCCCTCTTTTTCAGTAAGGCTGGGGATGTGAAGGGGTGGAAGATGGGTGCGTGCCAGTCCCTGCTCAGCCCTCTGGAGGGGCCAGAGAGCCCCTTCCTGCCCTTCCTCGACTGGCAGCAGGCCGTGCTGTCCCTGCCAGCAGAGCAGCAGCCTCCCCCCTCCTTGGCCTTGAAGCCCAGCGGGTCGGGCTGGCATTGGCTGGGTGGGGTGTGGGGTAGGTATTTAGGAGGGGTAGTGCTGTCCCATCCTGGCCAGCCCTTAAGGCTCCTAGGGGAACTATTGGGTAGTTGGCACCCAGCTGCCACTCAAGCTGGGGCCACCTGGGCACAGAAGTCTGGCCTGGAGGCTCAGCTACTCCTCCACTCTCCCTCCCAGGTCTGCATCTTAGAGGGTTGGCCCTGGAGGTGGGCAGGGCTGGGGGACCCCACCCTCAGCCAGGGCCAGGCTCATTCCCTGGCTCCTCCCTGTCAGGGAGTGGCTTCTCTCAGCCTGCTCCCAGCGCCCATCTGCTGGGTGGGCCGTCTCACCATGCTGTGGCACAGCTCCATCCTCCCCTACCCTCCTGCTCTGCCTCGCCCAGCACTCCTACTTCTTCCAGCCCAGCCCAGACAGCCCGCCCTCCCACCCTGCCCACCTCCACCTGGGCAACGGTTTGTGGGGCTCCTCCCGCCTCCCTCTTGGGTCCCTGTGACCAAGCCCTCTCCAAGGTAGGCCAGATAGTCCCCACCCACCTCAGGGAGAGTCCCTCGATCAGCAGATCAGCAGATCAGTGGGGTGGGGATGGAGGAAGGAAGGTCAGAGTGGGGCTGCCAGCTTCTCCCACCCAGAACTTGGTCCCCTGCTGAGCACCCCACTCCCACCTCAGCCCAGCAAAGGAGAGTGCCCTCCTGTTCCTCTTGGCCAGATGGGGACGGCATGCATTTGGCCTTCTGCAAGGATTGAGCATTTGCCAGGCACTGTGATGGCTGCAATAAGTTATGATAATAACAATAATGTCAGCTTCTACCATTTATTCAGCACTACATACAATATGCCAGACCCATACCCTGGGCCTGTCGATAATAACCATTACAAGAGCACTGTTAACAACGTCAACATTTATCGAGCATTTACTGTGTGCAAGAAGCTGTTCTAAAAGCTTTGCCGTAACACTGAGCATTTGAAAAGAAGCCTTGGTCAGTTGTACTGTTTTGATAGATCTTAACTCAAGCAGAGGGTAGGAGCTGGGCTGGGCCTCTGGCCAGCACATGCCGTGGATGCTGGTAGGGACAGGAAATGGGCAGAAATGAAGACAGGAGGCTGGACTCTAGGCAGAAAGCAGGCACTGAGCTCCCAAGCCTGGCTCCATATTTTCTGGGCCAATGATCCCCTCTCGAGTTAGAACAGGTGGACTTGTATTTAATATAAGCTCAAGAGTGGACAGTCACTGCCTCTGCCTGCCCTCCTTCAATTCACAGATTCTGTCCCCAGATTCTGAGGTGCTTAGGGCAGATCATGGAGCAGAAGTCCTGGGGCCTAGAATATTCTTGGGGGCCCTGGGCCTTGCTCCAGCCACCCGTCTAGGTGCAACACTCACGAGGCAAACTTTTGGCAGGCTGACCCAGCAGAAGGGGCCCTTCTAGCCCGAGTCACTTCCTTCAGGAGTGCTCAGGCTCTGCCAGCCTCACTCACCTGCCTGCCTGCCCTGCAGCCCTTTAGGCCACCGCTAACCCAGGCTCCACCTTCCCAACAAGACTCAACAGGCTTCCCCTGCCGCACTCTGGTCCTTGGAGATCTCTGCCCTGCCCAGTGTGTCTGGCATCCCTGGCCCATTGCACTTGCCTTGATGTCTCCCTAGGGGCTGGGATCCCTCGGCAGGGACGGGTGTATCCTTGTTATCTGGAAGGGTTTCAAGCCTCCAGGAGGCCCAGCTCTGCAAGTGAATTGCTATGTGACTGTGGGTGAGTCACACCTCTTCTCTGGGCCTCTTAATTGCATGCAGGGTCCTCTGGGTGGGGGAGAGGGCACCCTTGCCTCTGCTCAGCTCCTTGCCCCTGCAGGTTGGATCAAGTGAACCCCTCGAGTGGTCAGCTGGCTGGTATGGGGGCCGTGAGCCTGGAGGTTCTGAGCAGGGGCTATCAGGGCAGGGGGGAGGCTGATGTGTGGAGGTTCTGGGTGTCTCCTCCTGCCCCATTTAATCACCTTGCTTCTATCTGTGGGTAGCTCCCATGCATGAATTGGTGAACATGTTCTGCCTGTAGGGTTCTGAGCAGATTAGACACCAGGTGTCTGGGTAGGAGAGAGCCATGGGTAAGTGGGGAGGGAGGGTGGTGTGAGCTCTGAAGAGTCTGGCAGGGACAGATCAAACCTGCCCCATAGAAACTCAGGGCCTGGGGCTGGGCACAGTGGCTCACCCCTGTAATCGTAGCAGCCTGGGAGGCCAAGGTGGGAAGATTGCTTGAACTCAGGAATTTGAGACCAGCCTGAGCAAGAGTAAGACCCGGTCTCTACTAAAAGTAGAAAAAAATTAGCCAGGCATGGTAGCCAGCACCTGTAGTCCCAGTTACTCAGGAGGCTGAGGCAGGAGGATCACTTCAACCTGAGAGTTTGAGGTTGCTGTGAACTAGACTGACGCCAGGGGACTCTAGCCAGGGTGACAAAGTGAGACTCTGTCACACACACACACACACACACACACACACACACACAGAAACTCAAGGCCTGGGGCCAGGCCTGCTGGGCCTGGCAAAGATCTGGGGACCAGAGCAGCAGTTGGGAGCCCAACCCGCACCTCCGGGGATGTAGGGAGCCTGGAATGGGTGTCCAGGAGGGGAGGTCTGCGTGGTCTAAGGCCTCTTGCGTGCAGGCATCTCCGTGGGGAGGGAGGTGCTATGTTCTGGCAGGACGTGTTTCCTGAACATCTACTACGTGTCTAGCCCTGGGCACAGCTGTGCTGGGCCAGGCTGGACATGGCCCTGGGGCATGTAGAATGAAACAGTGTTTACTATATGGGGTGTGCAGGGCTGAGGCCTTCACCCAGCATTCCTTCCAGGAGGCAGAACCCGGGAAGCCAATCCCCTCCTTCCTGACTAGGCCTGGGCTCCCCCCTCCTTCCTGACTAGGCCTGGGCTCCCCCCTCCTTCCTGACTAGGCCTGGGCTCCCCCCTCCTTCCTGACTAGGCCTGGGCTCCCCCCTCCTTCCTGACTAGGCCTGGGTCCCCACTCCTTCCTGACTAGGCCTGGGCTCCCCCCTCCTTCCTGACTAGGCCTGGGCTCCCCCCTCCTTCCTGACTAGGCCTGGGCTCCCCCCTCCTTCCTGACTAGGCCTGGGTGGGAGCCCAGCGGGTGGCTTCTTTCCCTTCTGGGGCTGCTGCTCCTCCATCCGGAGGCCCCAGGCCTGGTGCAAAGCTGACTGATGACCTTGGCCCACACCTCCCTTGGTTCCTCCCTCTGACAGGCGGGACCAGACAGGCAGGGCAGGGCTGGGAAGGGAAGGACCAGCTGGCTACAGAAGGCAGGAGGTGGCAGCTGCTGTCCTTCCCCTTCCTAGGACCTGCCTTTGGGAGGTAAGGGTGGGAGGGGCTATTTCCTGCAGACCCTAGGCCTGGCTGCCAGCCTTGCTCTCCCTCCTTTCCCTCTCTTGTCCTCATTGGAGGCCCCTGGAGCAGGAACCCACATCAGGATCCATGCCCCCAAGCCTGCAGAGGACGTGGGCTTCGCAAGAGGTGGGGGAGAAAGATAGACAACTCAAGTGGAAGACAAACTCTGGGACAGGGTCGTGGGGTCTGACCTCCCAGCTCAGCCACCAACTCACTGTGATCTTGGCCTGGGCGCTGCCTTTCCTGTCTCAGTTTCCCCTAATTAGGGGTTGAAGGAAGGGACTTAAGTCAGTGCATCTTAAATTTTACTGCGTAGTGTGTATTCTAATCACCTGGGGATCATATTAAAATGCCATCTGATCCAGCCAGTCTTGGGTAGGGCCTGAGGTTTTTCAGTTCCCAAGTAACACTGGAACTGCTGATCTGTGGACCCCACTTTGAGCAGCACAGACTCAGCGATCCCATCCAATCGAGTCTTCAAGCCCCAGAGACTGGGTCACTTGAGCCCTCAGACCTCACAGGGCATCAGAAGAAAGGCCTGGGATTAGCTGCGGGCCCTGGGCCAGCGGAGCTGGCAGCCTCAGTCTGGTGGGCAGGGCAGCACCTCTGCCCCTGCTGAGGCTGTGTTTGGGTAAAAACGTCCCTTCTTGGTCACTGGTTGATTTAACCAAGGGCTGCTTCTATCTTTAGGGGCTCTCAGGACATCTGGAACATGAAGGAACTCAGCACAACCCACCGGTTTCCCTGGTGGCCACAGAAGATCCTCTGAGGGGCTGACGCCCTTTGTAGGGACAGCAGCCATTGGTCCAGCACTGTAATTGTTACTCTGGGAGTGGGAGCACAACTGGGACGTGGCTGCATATGCAGCTTGAGCTCGGCATGGCCCGGTCTTCCCTGAGAGGAGAAGGCGGACACAGGGCTAGCGGACCCTGCCACCGGCTTTCCCTTACTGCCCGCCCTCGCCGCTGGGGCGAGGCGCGTCACGGCGCAGCAGCCATTGGCACGTCTGGGGCTCTTCAGGAAGGGCCGGTGGATTCCTCTCTGCTTCTTCCACAGCGTTTTGGGCACAAAACCCCTCCTCAATGCCTGACCCATCTTAGTGGTAACTAACTATGAGAGGCCCTGGGGTAGGGTGGGGGCCGGGGAGAGAGGAGTCCGCTGGGTCTGGTTCCCCACCGTGGTTCCACCTTCTTGCCAGGCCTCCCTCACATGCCATGGCCAGGAGTGGGCCACCCAGCCAGAGAATGCTGGAGGTCTGCCCAGGTACCCCCACCCTTTGAAGATCCGGAATCTTCAGGGCCCAGAGGAAGGTGCTCGCACCCCTGGCAGTTCCCACTGGCTAGGAGAGGTCAGCGTGGGGTGGGGGTGCACTTCTCTGTTGCTATTGGAGGGTGGGTGCTCCAGCTCAGTGGGTCCGTAGCTGCCGTAGCAACCCCACTTAAAGGGCCAGCTTCTAGGATGAGAAGGGCTCAAAGGGAGCCCCTTCTTTAGCATAAGAGACATAAACCATTTAGCATGGTGGGCAGGGTTTCCAAGCTGGGAACCTGGGCCCCTCTGGCAAGCCCTACCCTGCCCCTCAGCTCACCCATGGGGTCATTTTCCAATTCTGCTAATGTCAGCTTAGGTCCCCTAATGGGCAGGGCCTCCTGGCCCCCTAACTCCACACAGCCAGCTCCTGGGACTGGAGGAGGGCCACAGACTTCTGAAGTTTGTGTTCCTGCCTGTGCACGTGCTACTCAGGCAGGTATTTATCTCCGTGTTGTGTGTCTGAAGGTCACGAGTGAAGCATACGTTGTGCATTTGTGCGTTAAGGAGGGCAGGAGCTCCCAAGCATTCCCGAACACTTGCACACAGGTTGCTGTTGTCTTTGGTAGACAGGAGGAACTGGCTCCTTAGAAGAAGGGGATGCTGAGTTATTTTATAAAGTGGACGACGACCCCCTTAAGCCTCAGGTGCGGATCTGCAGGGGGCAAGGGACTTACATAAATCAAGGCCCGCGTTTAGGTTGTGCTCCTGGCCCTGGCATGCATGAAAGACCCTTTTCCAGGTCCTAGCAGAACTGCTGGCACAAGGCCCTGGGTAGCAGCCCACTGTCCCACACAGGCTCAGAGGAGCAGGAGCTGTGTCAGCTGGTGCCAGCTCGGTGGGGGCAGGGCAGGCAGGCTGTGTGAACAGAGAGCATCGTCAGTCCTCTGGGGGAAATTGGAGATGAGGCCAGATCCTGCCCAGTGGGTCTGTCACCCTCTTCTCGGCTTACATTTCCAGGGAAACTGGTCGCCCTGGATGGAGATTGGCCCCAGATACCAGGGTCTCGAGGCTGCAGTCCTGCACTCCAGGGAGGGCCTGGGCAGAGTGTGGGGTATAGTGTGGAGATACCCTTGGCAGGGCCCCTGTGTGTGGCTGGCCTGGGGGCGCCAGAGAGACCAAGCTTATAAAAGGAATCTAGGGCTAGGACTTCAGGCTCAAGGTGTTTGGGATCTCTGGGGCCCTGGCCACTGCCCTGGGGAGCTGCACTGCTCAGTGTGGCAAGAAGAGCCTTGCTTGGCCCTGGTCTCAGCCACACCACCACTCACCACCTTCCGTGTGACCCTGGCGAGCCCGCTCCGCTCCCTGCCTGCTGGGCTCCCCCGGCCTTCTGTGGCCTGTCAGCAGTGATGAACCTGGGTTCCGGGCTTCCTTCCTGAAGCTTCCAAGAGTGGAGGAGCTGAGAGGCCAGAGGCTGAGAGGGTGTGGAGCAGGGGTCCTCAAACTACGGCCTGCGGGCCACATACAGCCCGCCGAGGACATTTATCTGGCTCACCAGGTGTTTTTGCCCCCACTGCTGCCTGTCCTGCTTAGCAGCCGCTCCGGGCCCACAATGCGCATGTGTGGAATGGGCGCCTCACTCTCCAACGGCCTCCACTGGTCTGAGGACAGTGAACTTCTCCCTGTTTAAAAAGTTTGAGGACCCCCGGTATAGAGGGTGTTGTGAGGAGGGTGGTCCAGGGCATGCCGCGGGAAGGGAGTCTCCTCTCTTGCTTTGGTTTCTGGTTCAGACGTCACAGATATGGGGCACAGCGGAGAGATGACTCTGGCCCCAGGTGCTGATCAGCTGCCCAAGGCTGGCTGGGGCTCCGCACTCCACAAGCCAGCTGTGCCCAAGCCCCAGTGCTCAGACGCCTCTGTGTTTCTCTCCTGACGGTTCCCACCTACTCCCAGGGCCGGGCATACTCTCTGGACCCGGACCCTGTCTCCATTGCCCCGAGCCCTACAGGACAGTGCCTCTCAAGGCCCATAGGACAGTGTCTCATAGAAAGGCCTCCTGGCCAGGCGCGGTGGCTCATGCCTGTAATCCTAGCACTTTGGGAGGCCGAGGTGGGAGGACTGCTTAAGGCCAGGAATTTGAGGTGAGCTATGACGACGCCATGGCACTCTAGCCTGGTCAACAGAGCAAGACTCTGTCTCAAAAAAAAAAAAAAAAAAAACGGCCGGGCTCTGTGGCTCACGCCTGTAATCCTAGTTCTTGGGAGGCCGAGGCGGGCGGATTGCTCAAGGTCAGGAGTTCAAAACCAGCCTGAGCAAGAGCGAGACCCCGTCTCTACTATAAATAGAAAGAAATTAATTGGCCAACTGATATATATATAAAAAAATTAGCCGGGCATGGTGGCGCATGCCTGTAGTCCCAGCTACTCGGGAGGCTGAGGCAGAAGGATCACTCAAGCCCAGGAGTTTGAGGTTGCTGTGAGCTAGGCTGACGCCACGGCACTCACTCTAGCCTGGGCAAAAAAAAAAAAAAAAAAAAAAAAAAAGGCATTCTGGAGATGCCCTTGGTCTCATAACCTTTTTGTAACCAAATGATGGACTCTGAGGCCACTGACAGGGACATCCTCTGCCTCTGACAACACCTGTGGTCCTCCTTTTGGGAAGACCGGCAGAGGTCATCGTCCTTGTAAAGCCTCCAGCAGCCGAGGGAGTGGGGGGGGTGGCCTGTGGCGGCCTGGCCCCGGGATCCCAGAGTCTGCCCACTCTCCTCACCTTGCTGCTGCGGCCCCTTGAGAGGTGGGTGGGAAGGGACAGGGCTATGGAGGCCCAAACTCATGTTAAGAAATCCCTAACTGGGAGCATTTATATTTATTTTTTTCTCGAAGCTGCTTGCAGAGGACCTGGCCTGGCGACATCTCCCAGGACCGGCCCACTTACCCACACATTTGGGGCACAGGAGCGCCGCAGGCCCCGGAGATGGAGATGCAGGGCTTGCCTGGCCCGTTCATCCCGCTGGCCAAGGCTGGGCCGGATGGCTGACTCCAGGGAAGTGCAGGCCACGTGGACCAGGCTCAGCACATGGTTAGACACAAATAACACACAGCTGTCCAGAGCCTTCGAAGCACCGTTTATCTACGCTCCGTGGAGCCAAGTGTCCCCCGCTGCCAGCCCCTGGTCCCCAGGAGCACAGGCACTGCAGTGGCCCTCGGCCTGAGGCCCTCTGCCATCTCTGGCCCAGCTGCTCCGGGGCAGCCAACCCTTGCTTGCTTAGCCCTCAGCCCATGAAGGCGAGGCCCTGGGAATGAACTGGCTGCAGACCCTCCGCCACCCCACCCGCTAGGGGCTCCTTAGTCCTGGCTAGCTCAGCACCATGTTAAATAGCTTCCTTGCAACCCCTTTAAATAAGCCCGTCCCCCCGCAACCTACCCACCCTGCACCCTGAATATATTATTCTATTGGTTTATGCCTTCTAGAGAGTGGAGGGGCTCTGTCCTCCTGGCCTCTGCTCCAGGGAATACCATCTCCCTAACGAAACAGGGGAAGTTTTCTCTCAACCCTGGGGCAGAGACAAGGGGAGGCCTGGTTGGGGTAGAAAACCCAGGAGTCCCCCTGCTGTGTCCCTTACCCCCAGGGTGCTTTCTTCTCTTTGTTCTCTTAGCAGCCTGGGTCAGGTGTGACTTACCCAAGGTCACAGACCCAGGATCCAGAGTCCTGAGGCAGCTAGGAGGGTGCCCCGGTTCTGACAGTGCAAACCAACTCCAGGGCAGGAGGACTGAACTTAAGCCTGCCTCCTGCCTTGGCCCTGCGGTTCTCCAGGCCCAAGTGAACTGAGGAGGATTCCAGCTCTAGACTCCACGCTATCTGGGACTATCTCCCAGCACTCTCCACCCCTGCTCTCTCCAGGTCTCTCTTGCTCTGGGGGTACCGAGACAGCACCAGGGCAAGGAAGCAACAGGGCCAGGGTGTAGGCAAGCCTGTCCCTGGCCCGATTAGCATCTGGTCCCCGGCCGGGCCTCACACCCAGTATTGGCCGTTCTTGAGGGCAGGGTTGGGTGTCTTGCAGAACTGTAGCAGCTCTGGGTCAGGCTGGCCCCCCGGGGGTGGCGCCTGGCCAGGCACAGCTGTGAGCGGGATGGGCTGGCCAGGATCCACCTTGCGAAAGGTCTCAGTATCGCCGGCCAGGCCGTTGCGGGGCTTGGCGGTCAGGACCTGGACGTCGTGCTTGCCTGTCTTGTTGCGCTTTCGGAGGTAGAAAAGCAGGGGCACGATGAGTGCCAGGAGCAGGAGGATCAGGCACACAGGGATGATGACACTGAACATGTTGGCCTCGAGGAAGCCCAGGAAGCCTCCCCCGGCCAGAGTGGGCACAGGGCTGGACGCCGCCGGGCCTGGCTCGCCCGTGGGGCTGCTGCTCTCTGGCTTCCCTTCTTCCGTCCGAGCAGTCTCGGGGACACTGAGCAGGGCGACGCTGTAGGGCCGTGCTGCATCGTAAGGCTCAGTGGCAAAGTCCAGGGAGGCCACGGCAGGCGGGACTCCTGGTGCCCACAGCTCCAGAGTGAGGCTGTCACCTGCGGGGCCCGGGGCCCTGCCCTCTGGCCTGCCCACCTCCAGCCCCAGCCTCCCATCCTCCAGGTCCTGCTGAGTGAACTGCTCCACGGGCTGGCTGTGCCCAGGCTCCGTCCTGGCCCGGGGCACGCGGACCACACGGCCGTGCCGGGGTCCTGCCAGGAGCCGGAAGCGGGGCACGCTGCCCGTGCGGTTGGCCAGCTCGCCAGCATCCAGGACGGCGGGGTCCAGGCGCAGGGTGGCACCCTGGGGCCATGGCCCGCCTGCCTGTATGTGCAGCAAGGCCCTCACAGTGACGTTCACTATGGCCGATGCGTTGGCGCCCCTCGCCAGGGCCAGGACTCGGAAGTGGTCGTGAGAGGAGGAGAAGCTGGTGAAGGCAAAGACCACCTGGCCTTGGTCTACCTGCAGCTGGCTGAAGGCCGAGGCTGGCTGCCCGCCCACCAGGAGGTGGCCGTACCGCGGCCCCTGGGCAAGGCGGTATGCCGCGTCCGGCTCCTCCCGGTCTGAAACCACCTGGAGCTGCTGCCGACTCAGTGAGGAGCGCCCTAACGCTTGGGGCACTTCCAGGGGCGCCCGTAGCTGCACCTCGATGGCAGCTGGTAAGACGTCTACGGCCAGGGCCATGGGCAGGGGTGGGCTGGCGCCGTCAGACACGCTCAGCCGGAAGACGCCTGCCACGCTGCTCCCGTTGGCGACGAAGGCCAGCCGCCCCCCATCCACGTCGGCCTGCGTGAAGTGGGTCACGGGCCCAGGGCTGCCCCCCGCCAGTCTGAGGAAGCCATTGTGGGGCGCCCGCTGCACCTCGTACTCAATCTCCTCAGGGGCGGAGTCCGGGTCCACCACGCTCAGCTGGGCCCGGGAGACCAGGGCGCGGGAGCCTCGGGTGAGCCGGAGCGGGACAGAGGCCTGTGGCTGGGGTGGCCGCTCGTTCACATCCCGCACCGTGATGGTGAAATCCTCCGAGGTTTGGGGTCCTGCCGCAGAGGAGCCCGAGGGCCCCTGGAGGCGGGCACGGAAGCGGAAGCCGTCCTGCTGGGTGCCCCCGCCCCCGTGGGCGTATTCCAGCCGCCCAGCAGCCAGCTGGGACTGCAGGAAGTGGGGCTGCCCGGCGTGGAGGGGCTCCTCAGACACCAGCAGCTGGCCCCGCGTGGGGAACTGCGTGACCTGGAAGAGCACATCGTGCTCTGGGCGCTGGGGCGAGGGAACACTGGCCAGGAGGTTGGAGGCATCGAGGGCGGCCACGGTGATCTTGGCCCGCTGGCCCTCGGGGACCCAGAGACCTGGGGGTGAGACGAGAACTATGAAGGTCCAGTCCATGGACTCTGACAAGGGGACCCCTGGGCAGGAGTGTGCTCCCCCCCAGGCCAGGTGCTCCAGCTGGGGCTCAGAGTCCCCAAGAGGATAAGGACTGTGTCACCCCTCTGATCTCAAAGCCTCCCGCCCACCCTTCTGTGACCTCCCAGGGGGTCCTGGGGCTGAGACAGGAGCTGCTGGCCTGGTCTTGTGTCCCTTCCTCTGTGGGCCTCTCCCAGTGTCCCCCCAACCTTGCCAGCTTGTCACGCAGTTCACCTTTGTTCCTCCACAGGCGGCTGGGGCGCTGGGGACAGGCAGCCTCAAAAGACACAGCCACAGCAAGGGTGACGGCCACACTGGGGGCAGGGGGTGAGGACAGCTGGAGCTCTAGGGCATCATGGGCCTCCCAGAAGGGCTCAGGGGGCATCTTGTGCTCATACAGAACATTCCCAGCATACACCTGAAGGGAGATAGCATTGTTGGGGTGAGAGGCAGGTGCAGCCTGGGGTGCCCAGGAGCCCACCCCCAGGAGGGCACCGGCACTGGGTGCTCTTGTCTCCCCAGTACCCCTCAGTGCCTAGTCTCCCTCCTGGCTCTCCTGGCTGTTCCCAGGTCTGTGTGTGTGACCCACTTTCTTCCTCACCAGCCCAGTGGGTCACCACTAGGCAGTCGTGTGGCAGCACAGAGCTGGGCTCTGTAGCCAAATGCCTGGGTTCAAACCCCAGCCCTGCCCCTCAGGCAAAGCGGCCACCGGGGAATGTGGAGATCTAGCCATGCCCCTGTCTAAAGCAAGCCCTTCCTCATACGCACTGCAACCCATCCCCTCTGGCCTGCTGAACACACCACCGCTACATCTCACTTTTTGCTCCTATGGTGTCAGTTTCCCCCCAGAATGAATCATTCCTTTCTCTATGCAACTATGCTGTTCTTTCTCTGACTTAAAGAAGAAACTGGCCAGGCGTGGCGGCTCATGCCTGTAATCCTAGCACTTCGGGACGCCAGGCGGGCAGATCGCTCAAAGGCAGGAGTTTGAAACCAGCCAGAGCAAGAGCGAGACCCCGTCTCTACTAAAAATAGAAAGAAATTAATTGACCAACTAAAATATATATAGAAAAAATTAGCCAGGCATGGTGGCGCATGCCTGTAGTCCCAGCTACTTGGGGGGCTGAGTCAGGAGGATTGCTTGAGTCCAGGAGTTTGAGGTTGCTGTGAGCTAGGGTGACACCATGGCACTCTAGCCCAAGCAACAGAGTGAGACTCTGTCTCAAAAATAAAAATAAAATAAAAAAGAAGGAACTTTTTGTTTTGTCGGACAGAGTCTCGCTCTCTTACCCAGGCTGGAGTGCTGTAGTGTCATCATAGCTCACTGCAACCTCCAACTCATGAGCTCAAGTGATCAGCCTCAGCCTCCCTAGTAGCTGGGACTACAGGATGAGCCATGACATCCACCTAACTTTTCTACTTTTACTAGAGATGGGGTCTTGCTCTTGTTTAGGCTGGTCTCAAACTCCTGAGCTCAAGCAATCCTCCTGCCTCGGCCTCCCAGAGTGCTGGGACTACAGGCGCGAGCCAAGCACCTGGACTGAAGGGAATATTCTTGACTTCACTTTCTCCACTAGCACCCCCCTACTTTGCTTCTCTATGCAGCAAAACTCCAGAAAGAATAGTCTGCGCTCTCCCCCCATGTGTCCTCAGCTCTCTCTGCCCAGAATTTTGCTCCCATGACGTCACCAAAACTGTTCTCGCCAAGCGCACCGAGGGCCTCGTGCGTTGGATCGAGGGGTGTGTTCCCAGGCCTCTCCCTCACCTGCCAGCTGCATTGGCACCACGGGCACTCCCTCCTCCAAGAGAGCTGGGGTATTCCACTCCAGCTACTCACACTCCCTTGCTGGTTTCCCTCTTCTCCACAGAGCCTTAGGGCTTGGTCTTTACACCCCATTCTGTCTACAGGCACCCCGATGGGCTCTCATTCCGTCTCCTGGCCTCAATGCCCGCGGTGCTGAAGAGCCCTGGTTGGTAGCCCTAACCCAGACTGCTCCCCTGAGCCCCAGACTGGAGTTTCCGCCTGCTCCCTTGACAGCTCCGTGTGATGTGTAACGGACTCTCAAACCCAACCTGCCCGCCTCCTGCAGTCGTCCCACTTCTGATGAGGGCAGCTCTGCTCCTCCGTGGCTCAGGGCAAAGCCCTGGAGTCATCCTTGACCATGGCATCTTGTGCCTAGATTAGTCCATTGGCCTCTAACGGGGTTCCAGCTTCACCCCCTGCCCCTATAGTTTGTACTTTTTTTTTTTTTTTTTTGAGATAGGGTCTCACTCTGTTGCCCAGGCTAGAGTGCAGTGGCATCATCATAGCTCACTGCAGCCTCAGAAACCTGGGCTCAAGGGATCCTCTCGTCTTAGCCTCCCAAAGTGCTAGGATTATAGGCGTGAGCCACTGAGCCCGGCCTGCAGTTTGTTCTTAACATGGAAGCCAGAGTGAGCCTTTTTAAATATAAGGTTATGTCGCTCTTTTGCTCAAATACTGCAGTGTCTCACCATTTGACCCCTCAGGCCCTGACTTGACCCTGTTACCCCTGCAACCTCAATTGTATGCATGTTAAACAGCGAGGAATATTCTTCACTTCCATAAAGAAATGTGTTCTCCCCACTCCTAATTGAAATGTGTCCTCTTGGCTTATCTTCTGTTTTCCCCTTTTAGGAAACATAGGGAACTATTTTTCTTCTCATAGAAAAACAGGACTTGTGCAACAGTGAGATGGAGACGGACGGGGTCTCGGTGTGTGGCAGGCCAGGGCCAGTAGGGCGGTGAACCGGGAGCAGAGCCCAGTCTGAAGGGGAGCAGAGGCCAGGTGTGGCGACTCACGCCTGTGATCCCAGGGCTTTGGGAGGCCAAGGTGGGAGGATCACTTGAGACCAGGAGTTCAAGACCAGCGGGGCAACATAGTGAGACCCTGTATCTCAAAACCAACCAACCAAACAAACAAACAAAAAACACGAGCTGGGCATGGTGGTGTGGTGGCCTGTAGTCCCAGCTACTTGGGAGGCGGAGGTGGGGGGATTGCTTGAACCCAGGAATTCGAGGCTGTAGTGAGCTATGACTGCATCACTGCACTGCAGCCTGGGTGACAGAGCAACACCTTGTCTAAGAAAAATAAAATAAATAAATACATGGAAGCTAAACATGTGTACCCCCATAATATGCTGAAATAAAAATAATAAATAAATAAATAAAACAAAACAAGAAACAGAGGCGGTAGAGGCTGGGGGGCAGTACTTGCTGTGAAGGAAGTGGCTGCTTCTCAGCTCTTTGCTGTCAAAGGGAACATAGGCCCTTTAAGAAAATAGGAATTGGTAGAATTGAGAAGTCCAGGTGAAAAAAAAAGAAAAAGGAAGTAAAATATATTTTTTTTAAATAAAAAAAAATATAGGAATTGGGTTTTTTGTGAAATCTCCCAAAGGTTACATGTTGACAATTGAAAAATACCAATTGCCTTTTGCAGGCCAAATAAAACGCATCTGAGGACCTGGCCCAGAAGGACTGCAGGACTGTCAGTGCAACCTCAAGCCCAGGCTGAAGGGTGGGCAGGAAGGAAACAGACCCCAGCAGTGGGGTGGGAGCTATAGGCCTGGCTCAGGAGCCTCGTGGGTGGGAGGTGTCCAGTGGGGAGGGAGGTGAGGTGGGGCAGGCCCTGTGCTCGGGGCAGGCTGAAAGGAGCCCTGGACCAGCAGTCAGAAGGCACAGTCCTGCTTGGCCTCTCACTCGCCACGTGCTCTGGATAAGCACATGTTATCTGACCTCTGCGAGCCTCGAGCCTCGGTTTCCTTATCGGCACCATGGGGACACCTGGTCCCTACCCTGCCGCGCTCAGAGCACTGTGGGACAGTGTACCCTCTCCCTGAGCCGGGGAGGCTGTCTCTGTCACATAGCCTCTTCCCAGCCTCTCTGGATGGCCATTTAGCCTAGCCCTTCACAAGCCGGGCTGTGGGGGCAGCTCTGAGTTACGTGGGACAGTTGGGTGGGGAGGGTTGCTGACGGCCCAGTCCTGTACCCTCCCCTTCTCGGCCCTTGGATGACAGAGGCCCCCAGAGACTCAGGGTGCGCAGCTGCTGTAGCCGCCAGCCTGCCGGGTATTTCTTTGTGGGGACTGGGCAGAAAGGGGCCCCAGCAAGAGAACACAGAGCCCAGGCCTGAGAGGTGTTGATGCGAGAGGCCCGACACTCTATCCCCCTGGTCAAAGCCTCCTCTCCCAGACGTCCGTCCGCATGCTCCCAGCCAGAGCCACCTGCTGGGCGAGGGGACTCTGGCCTTGCTTGCTGAGGTGCTTCTCAGGAGGGCGTGAGCACTGACCACTGGGGTGGTGAGGGAAGGGGTGTGCCAGGCGCAGGACGTCTGACGGGGGAGAGAAGTTGGAAGGGATCTGGGGGTGGGTGCTGCCGTTTTCCAGGGCCAAAGTGGGCCACTCCAGAGGTTCTTGGAGCAGAGCCACAGTGCTGTGGCTCCGAGTGGCACGACCAGCCCTGCCTCCAGGGAGCCCTCCCCAGCCAGAACCGGGTCTGGGTGCCCGCGCGGCCCCTCGGCTAGTGCACCGGCTGCACCGCCTGCGCAGGAGAGCCCACGGAAGGCCTGTCCTTCTCTGCCCTGTCCTGGGATAACTCCTGCTCTGCCTGCAGGGGAAGCCAAGGCTGTCCTGGCACTCATGGTGCCTTACTTAGAAGAGGTGCTCATTTAACGGCTGCTGGCCCCACTGGCACAGTCAGCACAGAGAGCCAGCGATCCGGCAGCCTTGCCGTCAGCCGTACCCATGGAGAGAGCTCTGGTGCACCCTGGTGGCCTCTGGTGTGCTCTGGGACACTGTGTCCTGAAGCTGCGGTGACACATGAACGGTGGCTTCACCCCCTTGGCCTACTCGGCTGCCTCTGTCTGCTCCCCTGCTCCCAGGACCTGCCCTGCTCTCGCTCGCACCTGACCACCTGACTGAGGCCCAGCCTTGGGTGCTGCGCGCCAGCCCCTCGCAGCGCGCACCGCGCATTACCAGCTGCTGGGGCGCCACTAGTGCCTTCACACAGGCGCACAACTGCCCTTTCCAGCGCCTCGGGTTGGCTACAGCTTGTTTCTAGAAGCCACGCCCCAGGTCTTGATCCCTGACCTCTTGTGCCCTTCTCCCTCCCTCCGCCTGGAGCACTGAGCTCCCCCTTGCCCTGCCAGCCCGGCAGCTCCTGGAGGAAAGTGCACACACGGCAGCCTGGGGAGCGCCTGCTGCCAGCGACACTGGAGCTGGGGCCGTGTCCACGTGTATGCCCGTTGTCACGGCAGGCACCGGAGGCCAGGTGGAGTCTGAGCCGTGGCTGCAGAGCTGGGCCCTTACCTCGGCCTGAGTGAAGTTCACCAGGGCCGCCTCTGTGCTGTCGTGCTGGGCGTGCAGCAGCCGCCCCAGCTGGGGGCCCCGCTCCACACTGTAGAGCAGGCGGTGGGGGTCGGTGCCCGCGCTGGAGCTGGCTCTCAGGCTCTGGCTGCTGAGCTGCTGCACGGACCCTGAAAGAGGCAGAAGGGACCTGTCAGCCTGTGACCAGGAGCCAGGGCAGGCACGCAAGTGCAGAGAGGCAGCGTGACCTTGGTGTGCCCCCCCAGCTCTGCCCCACTACCTGGCACACAGGAACCAGTCCTTGGCAGACCCACCTGGGCACACCGTCAGGGTCCGGCTGCCCTCCAGCAAGAGGAGCACTTGCTTCTGGGCCAGCACTCGGAAGAAGTGTCCTGGGGAGACGTGCTCCCCGTCAGAGAGGCTGAAGCGGAAGCCGCCATCCAGGGCTCCTGGGGACGGAGGCAGGGGAGCTGGGTCCCGCTGGCCGAGAGGGCTCCCCACCCTCAGGGCATCCCTTGGGGCCACAGGAATCCGCACGCCACCTCCCGGCACCCACCTCCGTGGGAGAACAGCACCAGCCCGCCGTCCAGCTGCGCCTGTGTGAAGCTGCGGACCTCAGTGCCTGGCGCCACCCGCAGCGCCACTTGCCCGTTGCTGGGCTGCTCGATGGTGTAGACCAGGTCCTCGGGCCCCGAGTCGCCATCTGTGCCCCCGAGGGCCTCCTTAGGGATGGGCACAGTGGCCCCCTCCCACATCTGGGGACACAGGCCCGTGAAGTTTCTGTCCCCACCACATTCGCCCGCCCCTCACTCCCTGGCCCTGGGGCCACTGTCAGGGCTCCGACCCTGCTGCAGCTGGGCCCTCAGCGGGCATGGAGGCCAGGCCGTCCTGCTGCAGCTGGGCCCTCAGTGGGCATGGAGGCCAGGCCGTCCTGTTGCAGCTGGGCCCTCAGCGGGCATGGAGGCCAGGCCGTCCTGCTGCAGCTGGGCCCTCAGCGGGCAGGAGGCCAGGCCGTCCTGTTGCAGCTGGGCCCTCAGCGGGCATGGAGGCCAGGCCGTCCTGCTGCAGCTGGGCCCTCAGCGGGCATGGAGGCCAGGCCGTCCCTGCTGCAGCTGGGCCCTTAGCCCTGCTCCTGCCTGCCGCCTGCCCCATTCCTGCTGTCCCTCAAGGCCAGCTCATGCCCCCCAGGAAGGCCACAGCTCTCACCCTTGCCCCAGAACCCTGCGCTGCCAACAGGGCTGCGGAATCTGGCTCTGCCTGCTGGTGGGGCGGGATCTCCCTCTGACCCCCATGGCGCTAGGCAGGGCTGGGCATGTGACGGGACAGTTATTTTTGGCTTGCCCAGGGTACTTAGAAATGGGCTCTTCCCGGCTTCCCAGGGGCAGCAGCGGGCACGGAGAGGCCGAGGGCCGGCCCATGTCCCTCCCGAGTGAGAGTGGAGGGGCCCCTCAGGCCTCCCCCTGGGCAGCAGGGGTCCCGGCACATGTCCTGCGGGCTCAGCGACTTGCGGGCAGTGTTGGGAAAGGGCTCCCCTCCCTGGCCAGGCAGAGCCCTGGAAAGGGGGCTATAGGTGGCGGGCCGGGTGTCAGCACAAAGTTCCGGGAACGAACGTGGGTGGATGGCACCACCTGGTGGCCGAGTCACCACATGGCAGGCCAGGCCTGTGTCCCACTCTTCTGCCGCCTCCCCACCACCAGGCTGGCCCCTATACCACCTACGTCTCCCAGCACCCCATGTCAGAGACAGCCACGTCGGCCCTCTTCTGGAACCTTCTGTGGCTCCTACTGACCAGGAGGACACACCCTAGAAGCTGGCAAAGTACTGCCATGTGGCCTTGGTCAAGCCGCACCCTTTCTGTTCCTCCAGTGAGTACTTTTGTGACAGTGATGAAGTTCTGTCCCCTGTCTGGGCCTCAATTTCTACCTCTGACGACTGGGGCACCTCTGTTCTGCTGCTATACAAGGCGCAGGAGCTCAGGGGCCAAGCTGGGACGTCACTTGTTGGGGGTGAGGGTGGGAAGTTTAACTGGTCCCTGTCTGTCGCCCACCCTTGAGGGCTGTGAGAAGCTCTGTCAAGCGTGGTGGCCGGAGCCGCAGGAAGGGCTCCCGCTGCAGGTGGGCAGGGAACGGCTTCCTGCTGCACTTCCAAGCCCTAACAGCACCCTATCTGTGTTCTGTCTGCAGTGCAATACCACACCTCTCCTTCCAACAACCTTGTGAGGCATGTGGCAGTGTCCCCATTTTGCAGAGGAGGAAACTGAGGCTCAGAGAACAGGCACTATGTGCAGGGAAGGAGGGTATCTGGCCTCTGTCTGGGAGCAGAGAGGTCGCAGGGATGCTCTTACCTGCAGGCCTGTGTTTGTGGTGAGGACAGGGGGCTGGTCGTTCACGGGCAGGACGGTGACAGTGAAGGCCACGGGCTGGCTCTGGCGGCCCATCTCTGAGGCGTTAGCCACCAGGACGAAGCTGTCCGTCCCTGTCTCGCTCCCATCATGCACGTAGTGGATCCGCTGCTCTTCCACCTAAAGCGGCCCGGGCGGCAGTCAGGCCTGCAGCAAGGCCCCACGCCTGCCTGTGGGTGCTGGAGGCGCTGGCCCCTCAGAACTGCAGTTTCCGTTAGTGCAAACTGGGAACCACCAGTTCCGTCTCCCAGAGGGGTTGTGAGGAAGAAATGAGGTCAGGTATTTAAAGCAGAGGCGCTCCCCCGATGCGGCCCCCCGCCTCCTCTCTGTGCATACCCGAGCCTGGAAGGCCCCAGGGCCCCCACCCTGTCCCCAAGCTGGGGCGCAGGCCCAGTGCTCCCGGACGGCTGTACCTCTCTCCAGGAGAAGGTGCCAAGGGCCCCATCTTGAGGTCCTTCTTCTCTTCGCAGGGCCCCATGTCGGGGTGGCTCTAGCACCTGCAGGGTGAGGCCCGGCAGAGTGGGGAAGTAGGGCCCGGTGACACGGAGCAGCGGCGGGGCCAGGGTGCAGTTGCCACCCTCGGGGACGCTGAAGTTCTGGGCCTCCAGTGGGATGGCAGCAGGCAGCACCTGCAGCTCCACTCGGATGCCTTCCAGGGGAGCACCCAGGCCCGATGCCACAGCCAGTGAGAAGGCGTCACTCCAGGCCTCGGGGTGGGAGTGCAGGTACAGGACCCTGCCCGAGTCCACCGCCTCCTGGGAGAAGCTCTGCACGGGGTCCAGGCTGGGCGGCGTACCTGCCGAGGCGCCGCGGGACATCATCACCAGGTAGCCGGCACTCGGTGGGCTCTTCACTGAGAACACGATGTCTGCTGGTGGCACTGCCTCCTGGGCTGCCTGAGAACAGAGGGTCCCAGGCACTCACGGGGTCACAGAGAGGGCCACTGTGAGCAGCCAGAACAGGCTCAATCTCCACACCCCTCCTTCCCCCAGACACTACTGCTCTCTTAGACACACAAGCACACATGCAGGTTCACACACATGACATCCAGATGTGCAGCTGTCAGAGAGGCTACACATGTCAATGCTCACCCCACATATAGTTACATGGGTGGTCACAGCCTGAGCTGTGCTCCCTCAGAGAGGTCCACAATCACTGTCCTAGATTCAGTGACGTGGACATACAATCTCATCATATGCTGATGTGGCACACATGTACACACGTGAGTGCATACTCACATGCACTCACACACATGCACTGACGCATATGCACGCACTCTCATACACACTCACATGTGCACACATATGCACACACACACACACACACACAGGCACACTCACGTGCACTCAGGCCCAGGGCCGGCTGGCCTGAGCCTTTCGGCTCCACGCATGCCATTACCATTGCTGACCACCAGAGGGAGCCCACCCTTCGGAGGCGCCTTCCGTGGAGCCCGTGGCGCCTGCAGACCTGGGTCCAGCCTGAAGGCCACAGGTGCTCGCTCTCCTGAAGGTCCAGCCACAGCAGCTAGACTTCACCCCAACTCACACTCCTGACTCTGTCCCTTTGCCTGGAATGTTCCTTCTGCCTAGAATGCCATCCCGTCCCCCGCTACCACACCCGCATTCTCCGAAGCCTCCTCGCTGCCTCCTCCAGCGCGTGGCCTTCCTGGCAGCAGGTGCGTCTGTCACGTCTGCCCCACAGCCAGGCATCCAGGACCAGAAGGGTCTCAGAAATTGGCAGAGCAGGAGAATAAGGCCAAGAGGGCAAGGGACTGGCCTGAGGGCGCACAGCAAGTCAGCCCGCGGGAGGCCGAGGCTGCGCTGTGAGGCTCCTGGGTGGGCACGGCCCTCGGCACGCCCTGCAGGCCTGGCTTGAGTCTGAGGAAAGAGCTGAGGACGCGGGCCTGCGTGGCGCGAGCCCTATCTCCATGGTCAGTGCCCCTGATAGCCTTCCAGGGGACTTACTAGAATCCAGATTCTCAGGCTCCACTTTAGAGCTTCTGTGGGTCTGGGTGGGGCCCAGGAATCCACACGGTTAGCCATAGCGTGTACACGTGTGGACACGACAGCTGGAGGCACACACAACTCATAGCAGATGCACGTGCGGCAAACTCCCCAGAGACTCTCGGGAATGCGGCAAGCACACGCATGCCCGAGGCTCCCACACGCATGCCCGAGGCTCGCACGGGCGCCAGACCAGGAGTGCCACTGTCACATCCCCAGTCACACACGCACACTCGGCATGAGGCCCGTGCCCTGCCCACCGCCTCCGCCCTCACCTGCAGCTGGTCCCTCCTGATCTCGGCCGCCTCTCCCTGGAAGACGTAGATCTTTTCATGCCGGACCAGTTGCAGTGGGGCCAGTGGGCCCTCCAGGGCGATGGTCACTTGCAGGGTGGCGTCTGTGTGCACTGGCCCTGCTTCCACAGAGAAGGCCAGGGAGTCACGGGGGCTGAGGCTGCCATTGTGGCTGTAGAGGACGGCCCCGCCCAGCAGGTCCTGCTGGGAGAAGGCTGTGGCTGGCTGGCCGGCCCGGAGCAGCTGGCCCCAGCGAGGGCCAGCGGTGACGTGGTAGTAGACCTCGTTCCCACTGCGGATATCAAGGTTGGTGTCCAGGTGGAGCACAGCAGTGTCGATGGTGCCCTGGCCTCCCTGAGGGACCACGAGGCTGGAGCCATTGGCCACACGGAGATAGGGCTCCGAGGCCTGTACTTCCAGGAGCGCAGTGGCCTGGTGCTGCCCATCAGACACCTGCAGCTGGATCCAGCCGCGGTCAGCCCCCGAGTGCACAAACAGCACGCGCCTCTTCCTGAGGTCCTCCTGCGTGAAGCGGTAGATGGGCCGCGTGGGCTCTTCCACGGCCACGATGCTGCCGAAGAGCAGGTCCTTGCGGGTCAGCACCAGCTGGGCATCAGCAAAGCCCGAGTCGGCGTCACTGAAGGCCACATCGTCTGTAGTCAGCAGCCGCTGCCCACCCCGGGCCACGTGGAAGACACGGCTGATGGTCTGCACAGGGGCGTGATCATTCACGGGCTGGATGGCCACTCGGAAGACGCCTCGCACCTCCTCCCAGGCCACGTCCCCACTGCTCTCGCCCTGGCGGGTAGCCACAAATGGGATGTCGTCCTCCGTGGTCTCAGAGTCGTCGTGCTGGTAGACCAGCTGGCCGCGCAGCAGGTCTTCATTGGTGAAGGATGTCACCACAGTGGTCTTGTCCTGTGTCCCCCGCCAAGCCAGCCTCCCATGGCGGGGGCGCTCCATGACCTCATAGAGGTAGCTGGCGCTGTTGAGACTCTTGACAAAGAGGTGGTCAGCAGAGAGGACACCCTGGCCACCTTCGGGCACCACGAGCAGGACGTTGGTGAGGACGGGAGCGTCTGGGTCGCCGCCAATGTGGATGGGGAAGGAGTACAGCGGGGAGAAGTGTGGCGGGGCTGTGACGCGGAAACGGAAGGAGTCCTCAGCTGCCGCCGGGGCACGTGCCGTGGCCCCATAGGTCACCCGGCCAGCCTGTAGGTCGTCCTGGGTGAAGGCCTGACCGCCCGACAACCGTGTGCCCTGTAGCTGAAGGTTGCCTTTCCTGGGAGCCTGAACTACCTCGTAGTGGAAGGTGGTGGGGCTTGGGTCGGCCTCCTCCAGGGCGGCCTCCAGGTGGGCCGTGGTGAGGACCTCCCGCTGGGTGCTGTGCGTGTACAGCGGCTCTAGCCGCAGCATCCGCACGGCGGCCCTCTGGACGGTCACTGGGAAGGACAGGTTGCTCAGGGTCTCCTGGCCCACCTGCACCTCGAAGGCCAGGCTCTCCACAGCGTCCTCGGTGCGGTGCTGCGGGTCGGTGCTCAGGTACCTCACGCGGCCCTGCTCCACGTCCCGCTGGTGGAACGCCTGTGTGGCCCGCCACTCCGCGCCCTCCACCCCGCCTGCCCCCTGCTTCTGCAGCTCCCCAAACCGCGGGGCCCCGGCGACGCGGAACAGCACGCTCACGTCCTGCCCCACGGCATTGGTCTCCACCGACAGGTTGGCGGGCAAGATGGGTGCGGCAGAGCCCTGAGCCAGCCGCAGCCCCGTGCTGCGGCGCACCTGTATGGCTGGCCGGACAGCCACCACCTTCAGCGTGGCCGGGACGCTGGCCTGCAGCCCGTCGCTGACCCGGAGCGTCAGGTCCTGTGCGGGGCCGCCGCGGTGGACGTAGACCAGGCTGTCTGTCTCCAGCTCCCGGCAGGAGAATTCTGTCGCCGGCTGCCCAGGCCGGTCTCGGCGCTCCACGGGGAGGCCAGTGGGGGCGCCCAGGAGCTGGAAGGTGAGGCCCTCGCAGGCAGAGTCGGGGTCGTAGGCCTGGAACACCTCGGGCCCCAGCGGCTTCTGCGTGTGCTCCAGGACCACCATGAGGCTGCCGTGCGGGAAGATGAGGCGGGGCGGGTCGTTGACGGGGGTCACCTGGACAGGCAGGACGTAAGTCTGGCCCCTCCGCAGGCACGAGGGCACGGGCACCCGCGCCGTCACCGACACCTCCAGCACCAGCTGGTCGGAGGCGTCCTCGGAGCCGTCGTGGATGAAGCGGGCCTTGCGGTTCACCACGTCCAGGAGGGTGAACATCCTCCGGGCCTGGGCGCCAGGGACGTCCAGCTCGAGCTGGCCGTGGCGTGCCCCCTGGCTCACGCTGAACAGCACCTGGGATTTGCGCAGCTCAGCCTCGGTCAGGTCCAGCGTGGGCTGCACGTGCTGCCACTCGAGCCAGGCTGTGCCACCCTCGGCCACCACCAGCGGGCGGATGGTCAGCAGTTGGGTGAAATTGGCAAAGACTGGAGGCAGCCCCGGCTCAGGCACACACGGCTCAGGCAGCTCCAGGGCCGGCCACGTCTCGGGGGCCAGCGTGGAGAAAGCTTCGTATGGGCCATAGGCATCGTCCTCGTACTCCTCTTCCTCCAGCCGGCAGCCGGCAGCCATGCCGCGGGTCAGCACGGCTTCCCGGAGCCCCTGCCTCTGGCCGTTGACGCTGAGGTCTTCCAGGCAGCCCAGCAGGGAGGCGTTGGCAGCCTCCGGCGCCAGGCCCAGGCGGCGCTCCTGGAGGTGGCGCGAGGCCGCTGCGTCCAGCCCCCCGAGGAGGAGGCTGCCGTGTGGCTGCAGGTGGCTGAGGACGCCACGGCTGGAAGTCCGCGTGGGGTGCTGGTCCACAGAGATTTCCAGTTGGCGGGCGCCCAGGCGGACGCTGACCTCGTGGGGCTGCCCGTCGGCCACGGGCACGCTGTTGTGGAGCAGCACGGTGCCCTGGCCCTTCTCGAGCACAGCCCGCAGGTGGCCTTCAAATATGTCCACGTAGATGAAGTCCCCACGCTGGCCCCCCGCCTGGAAGGCCAGGGGTGCCTGCCGGCTCCGCGTGATGAGCGTGAACTCCAGGGTGCCTTCCTCCTGAACGCCCCAGGCGGGGAAGGCAGCCAGGGAGCGGGGCCCGGAGAAGCCCAGGGCCACGTCGTCACCTGCAGAAAACTCCTCAGCACAGCCCTCCTGCACGTCGGGGGTCAGAGGCCGGAGGAGGCTGCGGCCGTTGAGGGTGGCCGCGTGGAGGCAGCCCCGCAGGGGCCGGCTGGTCTCCCTCAGGTAGGGCAGGCTGAGGCGCCCAGTGCCCCCCACGAAGATCCCATAGGGGACCTCTAGGGGGGCTCCCGGGACCGGGGCAGAGGCGTTCAGGACCCCGTCAACGGACAGCGTGGCCCAGCTGTCCGAAACAGCCAGCGCCACGGTGTGGGGGAGGCCGTCGCTCAGCGGGGGCCCTGCCGGGATCTGCAGTCTCAGCTCCTCCTGGCCCAGGACCAGTCTGACCTGAGGAGAGACAGGAGGGAGGGAGGGGGTCAGTACTTTGAAGACCTCACTTTCCCTCATGAAAGCACAGTGGGTGTCCATACTTGGAGTCCCAGAGCAGGGCACCTAGGGTAAGGGCTTCTGGTGCTACCCCTTTGCCTTCCTGCCATCTCTATTCCTCCCCTAGACGTTCACCAAGGTGAATCCCAGGCCAGGCCTGGAAGGGCTCTGGGGACATCACGGGGGTCATATGTGGTCCCTGCCCACAAGGAACTGACACATAGTAAGATGCTCCCCTGGAAATCCAACTTGTACGTTTTTATTCTTCCCTCTTTCCTTGGGAGAGAGGTGCCAGAAAAATCACCCTTGAGTCCAAAAGATTTCACGCCTAGAACGACGGACACCTGGGCATCCTCCGAGGAGCCCCTAGCGGGGCCAAGAGTCTCGGGGCGCTGGAGGCAGCCAGGCTCACTGCTCAGGCATGGGCCCAGCCAGATGCTCCGTGTTCTGAAGGTTTAGCGAAGAAAAGCTCCCTGACCTGGGCTGGAAGAGACAAAGGACACAGTCCTGTCTCCGTGACGCCAACAGCAGACCTGGCGCCAGTGTGGGGCCCGCACCACGTGGCAGGTGGATGGCGGCAGAGCACGGGGCCTGCAGAGGCAGCGCACTGGGAACCCGACCTGGGGGTTCAGGCGTGGCATCCGCGGGCCACGTGCCCAGCAGAGCAGAGCGGCAGTGCCAGACTGCGCCAGGCCAGTGCGCAGCAGTGGGGCTCCATGGCAGTGAGGAGCAATGGCGGCAGCAGATGGATGGAGCCATAGTCCTCTCCCTACGGGGGGTGGGGGGTGGGTGGGAGTAGGTGCCTCAGATTTGGGCTGAGACCCTGGGTGCGTAAACTCTTCGTGGTTAGGGGAGACTCGAAACAGAGCCAGGCGACTCCTTGCCAGGAAAGCTTACGACTTCTCGAAGGACGGAATGGAAAAGTGCGCTGTGGCAGTGCTGGTGCCGAGGGAGGGGTGCAAGGCCAGAGGAGGCGCAGGGCGCCGGTCCCAGGAGAGGGCCTGGCCCAGGCAAGCAAGGGGGGTGCCTTCTGGAGGAGAGGCTGGAGCTAGGCAGGCGCAGGGAATGGGCGAGGCATGCGCCAGGCGGAGGGACTGCAGTCAGCAAAGCCCGGCGGCAATGACCGCAAGCCGGCGGGGGACTGAGAGCAGTTCGGGTGGTCAGAGCACAAAGGCCTGCTGGGGGCTGTGGTAAGAGATGAGGTTGGAAAGAGCTGGGCGGCAGAGCCCTTTCATAAGGGCTTCACACTTTCTGGGATGCTCCCGCCCACCCCACAGTGGAGAACTTGAGAGCCCAAGGGACAATGATCTGCACAAGGTCACACAGCCAGTTGGGGCTCACACAAAGCTCGGGAAGGAATCTCGCCCCAATCCTGGGGAGGCGCTGACCTGCAGGCGGCCGGAGAAGAGCTGCAGCAGGAGGTGGTCGGCCGGGCCCGCGGCCAGGACAAGCAGGGCCTCGGGCTGGGACGTGGAGAGCTGCAGCTGCAGGTCCACGGCGGTGAGGGCCGTGGCCACCGGCACCTCCAGGTGGCTCTCTCCGAAGAAGGAGGCTGTGTGAGGGAGGAGCTGTGGTCAAGGCGCGGACGCCGGCTGAGGAGGCGAGTCCTGCCGGAGTGGCAGCGGGGCCCAGGTCCGGTTGGTCCTGGCACCAGACGCACAGCCTCCCCTGTGTGCCCCAGACCTGACTTTGAAGGAGGCCGGACCCAGGCATTCCCAGCAACCCAGGTCTCCTCCCTGCAGATCCTGGGGCCAGAGGCGTCTGCCAGCTCTGTCTCTCCTTCCTCGAGCCCCCGGGGACCCTCCACCCTGGGTCTGGCCCCTGCCTGGTCCAAAGAAAAGCCATCACTGTCCTGATCATCTGGCTTGGGGATCACAGCCCCCAAAAAGGGAGTTTCAGGAGAACATCCCAACTCAAACTGCTCCCTGTTCAAATTCTTCCTCCTAAGTTCACCCGGAGCTAGAGAAGGAACCCTAGACGCCCTCATGCTCGGGCTCCTGGGCAATGCTTGCCACACCACGCCCAACCTCCGTGGGGTGGCTGGGGCTGTGGCTGGGGCCTGGTGGTGTCAGACAGGCAGCCCATCCATCCCCACTTCTCTCTCAGGCCGTTCTCCCAGCTGCTTTGGGGTGGGGTGGCATCCTGTTGGCCTGAGTCTGCCAAAGAGCAAAGGCCAGATGGAGAGCATGTGCGGTGTCAGACCCCAAATGGGCCCAGACTTCCTCCATTGCCTCGCTATTGCTTCCTGCTGCAGAGCCATGAGAGTCCCAGTGAGCATGCAGATCCGGTCCCATTGTTTCCGTCGCCAAGGAGCCAGGGATGAGAACAGCTGAGTTCCCACCTCCCAGGCTGAGGCTGGGGACGGGCCTGGGAAGGGGTGAGGGTCAGATGGGCAGGCCACAGCCGAGTTTGCCCAGTGTCACGATGGTCACTGTGCAGGCCCCTCCGTGTCACAATGGGGAAATGCCTCCTTTTCAGTTGCTATTAATACTTCCTCCAGGCAGTTTCCCCGAACCTCAGCCTCCAACCTGCGGCTACAGTTTCTGGTCCATTCCTTTTGCAGTGATTAGAGCCAAATATAACTTTGACTTTGCCTACTTTGCCTACACTACAGGCTGGGGGGCAGACAAAAATGGGTTAAAAAGGTGATTCATCCCTGTTGGGCTTCCCTTAAGTCCCGTGAGCAAGCAAAGGCTGATGGCATCGATATGGATGGTCTGGTTCCGGTCACACGTGTGCTGGTCCCCAGCCAGCTGAGCCGGCTGACATCCTCCTGAGCCTTGCGTGCCCTGAGGGCAGCCGTGCCAGGGATGTCCGAGAAAGATAACGCCCTTGCCTTGGGCTGAGTGGACATCCCTTCAGTTATCTCCTCTGGCCGCTCTGCCAGCCACACGAGCCTTGTCTGGGAAGCTAACGCTAAAGGAATCAAACCTTGGTGCCAGCAGGGGACAGACCAGGGAGCTGGCAGGTGGTGGGCACCTTATCTGCAAGGACATTGATGCTTTGTTAGTTTTTGTTATAAATTTATTTATACCCCCACAATGTGTATGTTGAGAAACATTGATTCTGTTTTTTTTTTTTTTGAGACAGAGTCTCACTCTGTTGCCCAGGCTAGAGTGAGTGTCGTGGCGCCAGCCTAGCTCACAGCAACCTCAAACTCCTGGGCTCAAGCAATCCTCCTGCCTCAGCCTCCCGAGTAGCTGGGACTACAGGCATGCGCCACCATGCCCGGCTAATTTTTTCTATATATATTAGTTGGCCAATTAATTTCTTTCTATTTTTAGTAGAGACGGGGTCTCGCTCTTGCTCAGGCTGATCTCAAACTCCTGACCTCGAGCCATCCTCCGGCCTCGGCCTCCCAGAGTGCTAGGATTACAGGCGTGAGCCACTGCGCCCGGCCGAGAAGCATTGATTCTTAAGAGCAGAACACAGCATGCTAGACTGGGGGCAGCACTGGCACAGGGGTGGGGGCATGTGGCCCCTGTGGGATGGAGCCGCCGCCGTGGCGGGCTGGAGTGGCTCACAGCAGCTGGCAGGAGCTGACTGTTGAATTTTCCAGAATTTTGTGAGCGAGGCGACGTTGCCCACAGTGAGGCTGTTTATACCACGGAAAGAGGCAAACACCGAAGATCACGGTGCCCCCTCCCCAGAAAGCCTACTGCTAAACATTTACTTGCCCCGTGTGGAGGTGACGCCCCCTGCGCTAAAGGTGCGTGTGACCCCCGGGGCACGGGCCGAGTCAGGCTCTGGGCCGGCAGGAACTGGAGAAGATGGCCGGCCCTAACCACTGAACCACCTGCCTGTGGCCGGCTCCCTGCAGGAGAGCCAGCAGCCTGTTTGGCACGAGTGCGAGGGTGGCAGGAAGCGGAGGTACTTTCCAGAGAGCAAGGGTCTGAATGGGCCCATTGAGGGGCTGGGCCCTGCTGTTTCCTGTGGGGCCGGGCGGGGCGGCGCACACAGGCCGCCTTGTGCTGCCGTGGTGCGAGGGCCAGGCAGCTCCTCGCCCTGACACAGGGCTCTGAAGCTCTGCTGGCCAGGGCTTTGGAAACTCTGACAGCGCCACGCCCCAACCTCCTGGTCTCCTTTTTCTCCCCTCTTACTGTCTCTGACGGCTGCGGTTGCAAGAGTCCAGAATCCCTGTCTTAGAGGTGGGGTGGTGGGGGTAGTTGTAGAGGGGCTTCAGATGAAGAGGGGTGTAGGATAAAGAAGTAATGAGCTAAGAGTCAATCCTAGAAGACTTCCTGGAGGAGGTGAGGCTGGTATAGAGGAGAGAGAGGGAGGGAAGAGGCAGTCTCGGGCTGCAAGGCCAGGTGACAGACTTGCAGGGATACACAGTCCCCGTTGGGTGGGGCAGAGGAGGGTTTCTGTCCCCTCACCCCCTAGAGGCTGTGGATAACTTGAAGGCAGAGAAGTGAAGGGAAGAGGAGCGCGGTCACCCTGGCTCAGCGGCCTGATCGGCGTGGAGGGCCGGGAGGAGCGGGAGGCTCCAGCACAGGTTGGACCAGACCTGTGCCACGCTCTCCTGGGCCAAGAAGACCCATGATTCATCAGAACACCAGTCCAGACCTGCAGCAGCTGTGTGGGCTGCCCTCAGGGCCAGGAGAAGGGGCCCAGCTCAGGCCTCAGTATGACCATTCTGTAAAATGGGCACTCCTTCCTTCCTTGTCCCCATCCTGTCTGCAGGGATCAGCCCTAGAGGTCCCTTCCAGGTCTGGGGTCTGCCCTCATACACGGGGGTGCAGAGGCTGGCAAGCCTTCAGCGTGGGAGGAGCAGGGCGAGCGCCGCGTGCACGGGCTTCTCTGGACGAAGGCACAGAGCTGGGCGTCCATGGCCCTGCAGGGGAGTAGTTGTGGGTCTGTGTGCAAGCGTGTGGATGGCTGCCGGGCTGTGCTTTGGGTTTGCGTAAGGCCGTGTGTTTGTGTGTGCTCGCGTGTGTGGGCCAGGAGCTGCCGGGACAGAGCAGTGATTGTGCCCAGGCCTGCTCTGCCCCTCGGTGCCTGCCCGCTGCTGCCCGGCTGGGCCCGGCTCCATGAAAGGGGCCGTGTGTTCCTGCAGGGTTCCTGCCCCTCCTGCCCGGCGCCACTGAGAGGTTTGCCGAAGGTGGAGGCTTCCCGCCCTTCCTCCCCGTGCACAGGGAAGGCTGTCTGGGCCCTAGGGCGGGGCGGCCCGGCCTTCTTCCTGAGACCTGGGCTGGGGCACAGAGGAGCCTGTGTGTCCGCCTGCCAGTCCCCTCCTCAGAGGGCACATGAAGCTTAGGTCAAGGCCCCTCTGGCAGGGCATGGGTTGTGCTGGCACCTCCTGGCCCCTTGGGGCACTCCCAGGACAAGTGTGAATGGCCACCTGGTCCCTGCCCAGGGGTCCATACATGAGGCTGGCTTCCATCATGCCGCCCATCCCCTGCTGCTCAGCAGACTCTTGGGGCAAGGGGTCACTGTGTGGGAGGAGCTCTGCCCCTCAGGCTCCTGCCCCTCCCAGGTCTCAAGCATAGAAGCCTCTTCCAATCCCGGGGGCTGCTGCGGTCCTTCTGAGTCCGCAGAACCCCTGTCCCTGTCTGTCGAGTCTCCCTGTCTCTGTCTCCCTGCTGCCTGTCCCTGCCGCTGCTTTTCCCTGGTTTCGCCTGGCTCTGTCTTTGGCTCCCCTTCCCCCATCTCGCCCTGGCTGTCACTGGGAGCAGGCCCTCTGCCTGAGGGCAGTTTGGAGAGCCAGGCTGGGGCCTCCTGCTGCTGCTTGGGTGCGAGTCCCACAATGTCAGAGCTCTCTGCAGCCCAAGCCTCCACCTCCAGACAGACAAACAGGCCCAGGGGAGAAGCAATTTGACAGAGGGAAGCAGAAAGAGAGCCTGTGGTTCCCAGTGCCCCGCCTGCCTGGGCCCCACCCCCAGGGACCCCCACTTCACCCTACTCCCCGGCGATGGATCCTGTGTGCCCCACGCTCACTGCTACATTCCCAGCCGCCTGGGGCAGCCAGGCTGGCCCCACAGCCAGCGTGCGTCACGGGCGGCGGCATTCCTGGGTGTCTGCTGCCGCCTGACTTTATAAGGGAGAGAGCTCGGGAGCCCAAGCCGCCGGGCAGCACGGCCAGTGGGGCCGGGCCCGCAGCCGAGGGTGGGAGCCAGAGACTGGGCCCTGTATTCACTCATTCATTCATTCAATCAATCATAAATACAAAAGTGCAGCCCCAGGATGGAAAGCACAGCCAACCTGGGAAGACAGAGCCTGAAACAGGCGCCAAACAGGGACGCCCCTCCCACAAAGGCTGGGTTCGGGAACTCAGACCAGGGCCCAGGAAGGAGGTGGAGGAGGAGAGCAAGAGAGACAGAGAAGGTGGGATGCTGGCAGTGCGCCTGTGGCTGTGGACAGGACTGAGGAGGGGACACCCAGCCAGCCTGCCAGGCGGGTAGGGAGGGTGGCCTGCTCTGAGGACAGCCTGGACTTCTCCTCCACAGCCCCTTCGAGTCTGGCAGCAGGGGTGGCACGTCCTGGTTCCAGGTCTGGGCAGGCAGGGCTGAGACTGGGAGGGCCCCCACCAGGGAGTCTGGGGGCTGTGGGTGG